CAAGTGGAATCCGAAGTGGTATTTATAATATGTATGAAACAAGTACCTAAGTATAAAGACAAATCTATTTATTCAATCATAATTTATTTATATTACCTATAACAGTTTTAATTTGTATACAGTAATATAAATACATACTTATTTGCAGGTCAACATATAACTTTGGAACCTTTAAGAGAAAAGTTGATTGAGAGACAAATGTTTAATGGCTATATTGCATCATTGTCAACTGTATTAAAAGAAAGAAGGAAAAAAGATAACCAAGACGTGAACTGTAAATAGGTCAGTTTTTAAGAAATTATAGAATTACAACAGAAGCAGTTCGTTGTCATTGATGAAACATGTATCGTCCAAAATGAAACATTAAACAGGTCCTGGGAAAATAATGACAAAGGGTGTTAGACCTACAAAAATCGATGGCAAGAGATAAAATTAAATTTGAAGCAAATTAAGGTATCGGTAATTGTGTAAATCAAGTAAAAAAAAATATTAATATTGAAATGACACATCATATTGAAGATTTAATGGTAGATACGCTATTCTAACAATCATATAAAGACAATTTAATTGGAAAAATTTGATTACAGTGGTCAATAAACATCTACATGTTTTACACATTTTCAAGATGTACAGTGACACCCAAAAATGCCTTTTTTTTCAGAAATAAAGTTTAAAACAATATCAAAAAATTAAAAATGAAGTTACAAGATTTGATATAACGGTGTACCTAACATTAAATCATTGATATAATGTGTTGTTTAGATATTACAGTTTAGAATATAGTGATATTGACACACGTTATACGAAATGGCAACTAAATAGAACTAAATAAAATATTCTTTTTTCAGGTGCAAACCGCCAAAGAAATATATGGTAGATAATTACCTAAGCAGAACAATATAGACAAAGTATTACGTAATCTTCCCTGCCATTTTATTTTTAACTCAATTGAAGTTATTTGTGACCTTTCTAAGCAATATAATAATGAACATATTGGCAGAGAGGGATTTTTTAATAGATTGGAAATTATTTTTATTATAATTAACCCTAATAGCGATATCGATGACTGCGATTCAAATACTTGCGATCTGGATTAGGAGAAATAAAAGAATTTTATAGGAATAATGAAGATTAGAAGATGAATAATTGTTTTTTTATGAGAAAATAGTGTAATTAAAAAAAAAACATTGTCTAATTTTTAAAACAATAAACAGTTTGATATATTTCTTATATATCTGTATTTTTATTTAATTTATTCCAAGATATCAAAAAAATATTTGACTGAGAATAACATTTTTCAAATGTCTTTTGAAGCTGATAGAATGAAGAATCTTGATGTTTGAGTGATGAATCTATTGTTCATACATGTTTCGATAACTTTAGAGTTGAAAAGAAGTAGCGATATCTGTTTATTTTTGAAGCATCTTGAATACTTGAGCTACAGAACCGTTACTGAAAGTGAGATATACTAAAGCACCTGCTCAAATATTTTAACAATTTCCTTCTTGTATTCAAATATTTTAGCATTTTCAAACTTTAATTCTTTAAGTATAGGTATCTACTGATATTATGAATCCTCCACATGCCTTTGTAGTTTTCATTTTTTCAATGACCTCTTTAATTTTATGGGGTGTTGTGGTTTATAACTTAAATGTAGTTCTGTTAAATAACTTTCTTGGTAAAATTAAATTAGTTTTACATATTTTCTGTGCTAATTCTAAACCAATTTTGATCCATCTGCAATATACTACCTTACAGTTTTATTTTCCATGACTTGCATAATATGTTTAAAGCTTTTTTGTTCAGATGTTTATTATTCATAAAGGAATTCAATAGTTTCCGTTAGTTATATACATTTAAAACTTATTGTTCCTACTATATAGTAACATAACAAATACATAACCTTACAATTTTAAAAAATTCTAAATTCCTCAACTATTCTGACGATTAGGCAACACTGCAAGGCCGTGACGTCATAAATGATCTCTGACGTGCATCGGGATTTGTATTAAAAATACTATAAAGATAAATATTCTTTAGCAAATTATGTTCATTGCTATGCACATCAGACTAACCTTATAATGAGCAGTGCAGGTTCAATTAATGCGTCTGTTCAAATTTTTTTCGCTCATTTAACTGGAATTTATGCTTTAAACTACATCACCTCAAAGAACAAAGGTATCGGATGATATAGTTTATAGACGATTACCACGCTTATCACAAACGATATGGAATTTCCAATCACGGGGAGTTAATACAATTTATGAATACCGAAATGAAATGATACACATTATGGATATTTTAGAGAACGACAAAGATATTAAATTAAATTTTACGATTCAGCAAGCCAGTTCTTATAAACTTAGATTACAGGACAAAAATTTCATATTTTGGTTAACAGTTTTTCATGAAGTCATGCCACATGTAGAAATAATTTTTAAGCAACTGCAGACGATTAATACTCACCCTATCAATGTTAAAAAAGATCTAAAAAACTTTGAAAATGCAATACAAAAAATTCGTAATAAAATGGTTAAAATTATTGACAAAATAGACTCGGAGCTTTTAGAAACCGAAGATGAAAAGGCGACGTTGCCCTTGTTTCGATCGATCTGTTACAACAAATAGAAAAATAGAACCCGTGGAAGTTTGCGATTCCATTATGCAACAGATTAGGACACAATTAACTTTCACAGGACATCTGATAGCTACCGCATTATTCTTTAAAGAACATTTTATCAAATACCAAAAAAACTTTCCTGATCAATTGCTCTCTGACGCATATCAATTTCTAGAAAAAAAAATCGTCTCAAATCAGAACTGCAAAGACTTTACTAAAGAGAAGAGTTGCAAACCATTTCTGAAGTCATTCCTCTGTTATCATTAGTTTCGCAGGAAGATATGAAGTACACTTTTCAAGAAACTATTAAATTACTGGAAGTTTTAGTGACAACACCTATGTCAACATCCGAAGCTGAAAGATGTTTATCTATGTTAAAGAGGATAAAAACTTTTTTTACGCAACTCAATGAAAGAAGAAAGACTAAGTGCGCTAGGAATGCTATCAACTGAAAAATTGTTTCCAAATAAAATTGACGTCTTTAATAAACGAGTGATTGACCTTTTCGCTAATAAAACAGATCGAAGACTAGACTTCAAATATCGTTTTTATTGTAAAATATTCTTTATTTTACTGTATAGGTTTGGAGTGCAATAAATTATTATTCAAAGCTAAATTCTGTTAAGTTTTTATGTTATTTATTATTTTGTAAAGATGATAAATGCGCACGTTAATATACTTTAAAATATTACCTAAGATATGCATTTTAACGACTTCGAGTCAAAATCTGCGCTAGGCACCCGAAAATGTTAATCTGTGGCTTCACCTATGAGCTAAGGCACGAGCCGCCACTGCCATGTCCTATTTAATTGTTACGTCCATTAGCTGTCTCTTTATAGAGTAAGATCCCGAAGCGATAAGACATAACTTATTTTCTAAAAGATGAAATTTTAAGTTCTTAGTAGTGTCTCATGTACTTTGTATACATGCGTATTTGTGAAGTTTGCCCAGTGACACCTGGGCAGGTATCAGGTGAGAAAGGTGACTAAAAATAAGAGTTACTTAACTTAAATTTATATGACTGATTTTGATATATATATTTAATAGAATATCATTCTCAAGTAGTATCGCAAGTATCAGACACTTTCCATGGATTAAAACTTTTATCAGACGCTTTAAAGCTCCTTTAAAAATAAATGAACTTCACTTATTTTTTAATGTCTGATTTTTGAATATGTTATCGAGATAACTATTACAAAATTATATTTAATCAGTCAGACAAATTGGAATGAACAAAAATCCCCTAAACACAAAAATTATTCGGCCGTGAGTACGAGCGCGAGAGCATTATGCGCATGCGTGTCAAAGCGATGAATTTAAATTATCCAAAAAGTACTTACTGCTTTCGATAAAATATTTTTGTATCTCTATTTAAATAAAATGAATTTCAACATTTTGGTAATAATTAATAAATTATTAAAGTAAAACAATTTATTGCATATATTCGGTAAATTAATTTTTTTTTCGGGGTAATTGTGTTTTATAAAAAAATATTTTTATTTTTTTTTACCAAAGATAACAGTTTTTACATTTTTAAGAAAAAATAGTTTTAGTAAAAAAGAATATTATAACTATAGTTAGTGAAAGTATTTGATTGTCCTTAATCATTGTTATCATCATCAAAATAATCATTAGAATTTTCATAATTGAGCCAGTCATATTGTCCATTCGAGTCACCATTCTCATCGTCATCATTTATGTTGTTGTCGTTGCTGTCAGCTTCTTCTTTAAGAAACAAATAAAAGAATTACAAAACATAAAACTACAAACATGAAACAAAAAATAAATTGTAAACCTAAAGTTAAAGTACAGTACCTGGATCTTGAAGTGCTTCACTGACGTCTCCTGGTAATTGCTCACCATCACCAATGGAAGTGATACTGGTTTTCTTCTAACGTCCAGCCATTATTTTCAGGAGCAAAGATTGTTGGTTGTTTTTCATTTCCATTATTCCATATGCTAGAAATGTAATTAGCTCGGAGATGTTGTTGAAATAATTCAGTTTTGCATGGTGGTAAATTGATAGCATCAAAATTTTTTAAACTTTTTGGATTATATTCTTCGTTTACATCAGAAACGGCATAATTATTTAAAAACAGCTGAAGTCGGGCAGTATCAACGTCAAGTGTGCCAGAAACATAAATTTCGCACATAAATTTTTGTACTTTGTTAAAAATATCCTGTTGTATGTGTGCATCGGTAAACGACTAGGGGCTTCCAAATTGTATAAAAGCAAGCTGATATTCATGCTTCTTCATCAATCTATTAAAAGGTCTTTGTTCACCGTTTTAAAAAAGGAAGGATTAAAGTCACATCCAGTCAATGCATGAAATCCTAATAAACTTTTACACAAAGATGGGCTCAAATGCTCGTAATTTTTTTAAAAATTAATGTATCTCTGGTTATTTCCAGTGCCTGCATATAACCATACATTGGAGTCATAATTTTTCAAATTATCCATATGCCCTAACATAATTATTGCAATATCAGTGTCAGAACATCTAATAACAAAATTTGGTTGAGCATCAATGTTACAAACATGAAAAACAATTTTTGTATCAGCTTCTTTATGCTCTGGACAGGATAAACTGTCATCTACACCTGATACAACTTTGTTGTTATCAACGATGTAAGAATGACATTGTTTATAATTTATAAATATCCGTTTATTCTCAACAAAAGGGACCATTTCATCAGATGCCCAGTGTTGAATAAAGAAATCAACGAGGGCCTGTTTAAAATTGATGTTTTTCAGTTCTTTTAAAAAATCTGAAGGTCTAACTTGATCAGGAGCAGCAATATTGAAATCCAGTTGAGTTGATTCTTGGCGAAGAGATCTCTCATAATCTTTAATCGAATGAGAGAAATATTGATCAAAAATAACATCGTATCTTATCGCTTTTAGTTGTGTTACCATTTGAAGCATTTTTTTTGAGATAGCCAAATTTTTCGGGACATTTTTCATGATATGTAGCAAAAAGAAACCGTCAATTAATAAAACATCTATTTGAGCAGGTGGATTGTGCTCTTAACTTTTCTCCGAAGATTTCATCAAGGTGGATTTCTGGGTTTTACAAATGGACGTCTCACTCGCTCTGAAAGCATGCATAATGCTCTCGCGCTCGTACTCACGGCCGAATAATTTTTGTTTTTAGGGGATTTTTGGTAATTCCAATTTGTCTGACTGATTAAATATAATTTTGTAATAGTTATCTCGATAACATATTCAAAAATCAGACATTAAAAAATAAGTGAAGTTCATTTATTTTTGGTGGAGCTTTAAAGCGTCTAACAAAAGTTTTGGTTCATGGAAAGTATCTGATACCTGCGATACTACTTGAAAATGATATTATATTAAATATATATAAAAATCAGCCATATAAAGTTAAGTAACTTTTATTTTTAGTCACCTTTCTCACCTGGTACCTGCCTAGGTGTAACTGGGCAAACTTCACAAACACGCAGGTATACAAAGTACATGAGACACTACTGAGAACTTAAAGTTTCATCTTTTAGAAAATAAGTTATGTCTTATCGCTCTGGGATCTTGGACTATATAATTCCAGAATCAACATCCACCCGATGGGTGGTTTTTTGAAGAATATAATCAGGTAAATATTTAAATTGATGTCCCGAATTATTAAAGTGATTCAGTATTTTACAAATAATTCCAGAACAAAAAAGCGATAGTTTTTAAATTTCATGAAACTCATAACATTTCGTTCTGTATTTCTACTATCCACGCAATGGAAAGCAGTATGAGCCGTTTCAGAGATGCATGAAATTTTCTTTTCGTCTACCATGATTACAACGGAACCGTTTCTTGCAAGTGAATTATTTAGTTTTCTATCCCTTCTTTTGCGAGAATATTTTTCTTGAAGCCATAATTCTGTTAGGCAGCCACCCTCGTTTACTTATTTAAGTTATGCGTCAAGAGGCGTATGTGAAGTGACTAATAATGAGTGTTTTTTTTTTTCGTCTTTTTCGTGCTGAAACATTTCTAGTGAATTGAATATTAAATGAATTCGTTCGCTGAAAAGCAAAAGTTTCATATGGGTGAAAACTAGATGGACTAAATGTTCATTTTGTTAAGAAAATAAAATATTTAAAAACAGAGTCTAGCAATAAAGTTCGTGAAAAAATACAATAGGTTTATTCCAACAGTAAATTCACAGGTGATTCAGACCAAACTTAGATTACATGGAAGATCTGATAGTTTTAGAATCATATGGACTAGGTTTGGAAGAATTTAGAACCCATTGTGAAGTAAGGCAGAACTCAATGGAAAGGAAAAATAACTTTATTATATAAAGAATAATATGTGACAACTTTATTAATTAATTGACAACTTTATCGACAAACATACATGATTATTTTTATATTTGCTAGATATGGTAGTCTAGTCTATTACATCATAGTCTAGTCTACAACATATTGATAATTTAAAATAACAAAATTCAGAAATATAAGAATGTTAAGCGATGTTGCAAACATATCGTCAAATTTTAGGTTGTTTGTTTTGACAAGGACTCGGTTCATAAACGGTGAACCTATTAAATTTTGGCCATAGTCGAAACATCTGGGGGATACTTTTTATATGGTCGTTTTTCTAATTTATAAGAATATATGTTATTTACGCTTGGAAAAGAACATTTTTTTAAGCTGCCGGGCCCCTCCTGGGCCTACGCCCCAGTGATTTTGTCCCTTCCTCTGGTCGAGCCTGCATTCTCAACCAGTCTGGTCATGCTATAATCCCTTAAATAAGTTTCTTTTTGCCTTATTTCAGCCTCGCTTTTTCAATTAGCAAGAATATTCGCTAAATATTTTACTTTAATTATAAAAAAAAACCGTTTAATCCTGCCCCGACTTTTAGAAGAAAGACTGATCTATTCCAGATCGCTTAGTTCTCGACCGCCAGATCAAAGGAGTTGTGGAGTTGTATAATAAGTAAGCTGTGCTTAGACTGTCTTGTATGCAATTTTGTTTTATTTATGAAATTAAAAACCTAAGTTCAAACTGGTCATCATATTTATACAGGGTGTCAGTTCAAAACACCGACATATTTAGCATTTCATCTTATGCTCCTCTGAGATATAATTTTCTACCCAAATTATAGTTTTTTGAACTGGTAAATATTTTTACATAAAATTTTGTAAAAATGTTACAACCTCTTAGGTTAATCAAAACCTTATTTTATTTTAAAAAATGCTAGGACTGTACTTCTTTTTTTCTTATTGCTTTTCTTACCTCAAGTATCATCCTGTATATCGTATTTACTAAATGTTAATTAAAGTTTAAATAATGCATGGATCAATTATCAAATTATCGTAATTAGTTTTGATGGCACGTTCATGACTTTCTTAAAGTAAATTTTTATATTAGCGACCAGAAAATTAGTAATACACTTACAATTTGTTTCGTGCGTGAGAGCAGCACCAATTAATTTATGTACTAATGAACGATTTTTTGCATATATTGACAATGCAATTTTTAATATAATTCGTAGTTAAAAAGTATATATGATAATTTTAATAAAACTATATCGATTTGTAGAACAAGTGAAAACATTATTATTACATATTATTATTATTATTATTATTTTTATTATATATTTTTATCGCTTAAACTAAAAAAAGTAAGTATAATCAATAAAAATCAATAATAAAATTAGACAGGCAACAGTATTTATGGTAAAATGTATGAGAAGTTGCCTAAGTCTAATATGATGTCTTTGAAGAATTAACCTATTCTGTCAAAATAAAAAAATACCATCAAATAGTAGCGTGAAATTAAAATGTATAAACCGAACGATTTTTATTTATATTTTCATTTTTGTTCGAAAGAAAACAGAAAAAATAATTAAAACTGGTTTCCTATCAGTAAGTTAGAAAATTGTATTCCAGCTCACATACAATAATCAAAGGCAGAAATCTTAAAATCTAGTTCTTTGTAAACATTTAAGAACAAATGGATGTTGAAGAACATCATAAAATGTTATTGTTTATTTAAAACCTTTCAAGGTTCTGTTATTATTACAAAAATAAAGGTAATTTTTCTTCTTATTGTACACCTATCCATTTATTTTTTTGATTAAATTTCCACTTTGCTACTGAAAATTTTTATAATTTTCACTGTTTTTTTTTTGCTAGTATTTTTACAATTTTTAACATATCAACTCCGGTTGCTTATTGTTTTGAAAAAAAAAGTAAAATGTATATGTGTATTTGATATGCCAAAATTACAAAATATCGCCCTAAATTGCATGAATTATACGCAGCTAGCGCTTGTATCGCTTTTGATTCCCCTACCATGACTTCGCTCTGAGCGAATACTTGTCTATCGAACGCGGCAAGGGATTTAAAATTAAAATAAAACAATAGTTTACTAAATAAGGTGTATGAATAGACATCATATCTTTGGGTGCATGTACCACATTATATTTTTACCTGGATACGAAGATATTGACATTTAAAACTTCCCTTTCCATATATACTCTACGTGTGGCCAAATAATACGCTCTTGGCAAGTTCAAACAACAACTAAAAATGTCAGTTAATTAATAGTTTTGCATTTGAAGCAGATCAAAACGTCGCGTCACATCGCAACGGAAAAGTAGAATTTCAGCGTTTCCCCCCCTGACGTGTGGACATTCATCCTTTTTTCCTAATATACTGTATTTTAAGCCATCGTTACTCGTGATTGTCAACGTTATTTTCTCGTATTAGTATAGGATAATAAAATAGAGGTGCAAAACTACATTTCACACTCATTACTTTATTTTTGACCAAAAATTTACTTTTATCTTTCTTTCCCCTGCCCCTGCTAAAGTTTTAAAGAGTTCTAACGAATAATGGGAACAAAACCCATTTCTTGGCTTTGCAAAGCCCCGGGTGGGTATAGCCAGACAATAAAAAAATTTAATCAAGTATTGCTTCACTAAAAGAGTATACTGTTGTGCTAAGGTTTGTCCTCTTTAAAAACTAATTAAAATAACGGATAACTTTCATTTTTTTAGTTCTTCGAAAATGTCAAAGTATCATGAAATAAAAACGGTAGATATTTCGCGCTTGTAGAGCGCAGTGTACCATTTTTAATAATAGATCATCTAAGTCAGCCATACTCAACCTGCGGCCCGCGGACCGCATGAGGCCCTACAAGCTTTTTTTTTGTGGCCCGAAACACTATTATTAAGAAGATGCGTTTTATAACTATAGGTTTCTGTTTCAAAAGTTTTGAGCAAGATGCGCGAAAACATACATCGGTCTCTGCGCTAAATATCAAGCTAATTTTTAAATAAACGTTAGGATTGTAGAGTTACAACAAAAATAAGATAGCTCTACTTTTGGCATTTTCGACTTAAGTACACTTTCGTCTTCAAAATAGTTCAAATAATATACAGCAAAAACAAAAATGTGAACGAAGTCTATATTCACGATAAACAAATGGTCAAAAAACTACATCTACATTGATACATTCACAATATGCACAAACAAGATGAATGGCATTTTTACCGAAATATAATCATAATATTGTGTTCAGTTGCTAATAGTGTGTCTACCAAAACCAGATAAGAGACATATAACTTATTTTTGCTAAATGTATTTAGTCCGATTCCTAAAAGTGTTTCGGCCAAAACAAAATAAAGGCCAGGAAACTTATTTTTATTTATTGTATTTGCGAAATGCCTTAATAATGTTTCCAAATTGTTTTGAATAGAGCAGTCTTGTCTGGCCTTCCTCGATTGGTCCGAAATCGACAAGGTGATTACATCACCCTTTCTTTCCATGATACACAGCTAACTTTCAAACACCAATAGATGATAACACGTGATGCCCGAATCACTTTGGTGAATGGTTGATAAGCCGTAAGAAGTACCTCCCTACCAAACTCTTATCGTCCAATCTGCCTAACATCCTTGCTTCTAAA